GTACGGTCCAGGACTTCCTAAGAGCTGTGGAAAGGAAAATGCACAATCCAAGACTTATTGCCATAATTTCAACACCTGAGGTAGAAATACAACTCAAGAATAATGTACAGGTAATTCTTGATTTACAACAGTTTGCTTAGTGCCAGTTCCAACGGCACTGAAAAAAGTGACATGATCACTTTTCACAATCATGGTAGCACTCCCATGGCCATGTGATCAAAATCCAGACACTTGGCAACTGACTCATATTTATGATGGTTGCAGTGCCCTGGGGTCAGGTGATCACCTTTTGCGACCTTCTGATAAGCAAAGTCAATGGGGAAGCCAGATTCACTTAACACATACAGGGATTCAAGTGTCTCATTTAGCAACAGAAATTTGGGGTTGAATTGTGGTCATAAATTGAGGATTACCTGTACTGTAATGGGAAGGCATTCCTGCTCTCCTGCATTCTAAGCAATATGGTTGATCTCTTTCTCAATAATAGCAATGTTCCCTGTGGCTTTGCAAATCCACACTGGAGCATTCAAGCTATTTATTTAAAAAGTGGGTTGGCTGTCGAAGTTCCAGGCACAGAACCAACCTTGTGATCTTGATCTAGATGCCTGAACTTTGCTCAGTGCTTAAGTAAGCAGACTTAGCTGACAGAAGTGAAAGTTCAGTGCAAACACGGCATTACTCAGCTGGACACCCAGCTCTCTCTCCCTGAGCCATGAATTCTAATTACATGTTTTGCCACTGCTGCCAATGATTCTCATACTTGCATTTCTGCTTAAACATATTCAGGAACAGTAATTTTTGTTGGCTTTATAATAATTGGACAAGAAGTAAATAGTGTTTAGACTGTCTTGTCTGCCAGAATCTCCCCTTTATTATTTTGGGTAGTAATACAGACTCATGAAACAGTGATTTACCATCAAGATCGGGATTATCTAATCTAAAAACTACCAATAGGGAAGTGGAATCTAAGCAGCTCCAAAAAACAGAAGAGAAAGTTTGTGGTACTGTTGCTGCCTGCCAATAACTTGTGGAAATCATGTGAACTGCTGGCAGTTGTTCCCAAATTTGCCTCCTTCCTCAGTTTTCCTGGACACCTCACCAGAAACAGAAGGAATCTTTGCTAGGTATCATACAATAGCAATGACTAGGAAGAATAGAACACATTGGCAGTTCCAAAGTAGAAATATTCTTCAGGTGGATTGAAATTTTCCCTATATAAAAGGGCTTCTTGGACATTTGGATAGACATCTTTTACCAAAGTGGGCTGCCCAAAATACAAGATCTTCCTAACGTGGAAAACATGGTCTTCAAGAGTTCTCTATGATTAAATTGGATTCAATTCTGCTTGGATTTCATGACTCTCAGATTCTGCCTATTTTCCCTCCACATTGACACCAATAGTGCCATCACAGATCCCAGAAACTTCACATACAAGATTAGAGGTGCCTTAATTTGATAAATGCCATCATCCGCCAGCAATGCTCTTCCAAAATCTAGGAAGGATAAATGAGCCAGGCTTCGCATAAGTTTGATTCAAAACAAGGACAAAGTAATATCAGATCATTTTAATATCCTAGGACATTTCATTCCCATTATGGTACAAAGAAATTTCACCAGCACAATAAATTCAGGAAGAAATTTGCCAGTATTAAAAGGTTTCAGGCCATCTTAAAAGGTCTCAACACATCTAAGAGGTTTTTTATCATATTACAATTACTATCCCCCTCTGGCTACTTATAGCCCCTTTTTGAAGAAGATGGGCAGTTCAGAAATTTAATAAATCAATCAATCAATAAATGATGAGTCACATTTAACCGTTTCACATGCAACCTGCATCTACACAGCCACCCTGTCTTCCACCACCATTTCCCCCTCCCCATATCACTTCCAGTTTAAATCCAACATCAATTTCCGTAGCTTTCAAAATTATTTATAAACATCTTCTATTTGATCCACAAGAAGGCATTGTACTACTGAATTTAGGTAATAGTACTCAAAAAAATTGAAAAGCACTTTGGTGTAGTGATTAAAGCACCAGGCTATAAACCAGGAGACTGTGAGTTCCAATCCCATCTTAGGTATGAAGCCAGTGTGTGTCCTTGGGCCAGTCACTCTCCCTCAGCCTTTGAAAGCAGGCAATGGTAACTGACTTCCAAAATCTTGCCAAGAACATGACAAACACTTGTTCAGATACTTGCCAGCTACTGACTTGAAAGGACCAAAAATAACAAGAAAAATAGTACTCTTATCAGCTGCAAGAATCATACAAATGAAGTATGTTTATATCATCTTTTACTTGTGCTGCATGATTATATTTTATCAGATTCTAGGGTAAGACACGAGTCACATGGGCTTAAAATCATGATTTAATTTGAAAAGACCGATATGTTTATTTCTGCAAATTTCATACAATTTCAGTTCTACATAATATACACCTGTTTGATTGTATGTTTTTATTACTGCCACTACATAACGGTCTTCAGTTTTCAAAACATCTACTTAGGAAGAAGCTGAAACAGCATTAGTGTATAACTCAGACATTACCACACTAAAATTGGACAGTCTGCTTTATGAAAGGGCCCCTAGGAAGCAGTTTTCCTTGTATTTTACAATTTATTTTAGAGATTCTTTTGTGAAAGACACCCCTAGCCAAAATTCATTGGAACTGTCGTATAGAAAGTTTTATTCCTTATGTTCTAATTTATGGAACAGCTGTCAGAGATCCAGATAGTGGTTTTTTAAAGATATAATGAAAAGGGGGGGTCTGCTTTTCTGCTTTTAATTTGTTAAGTATTTATTATTTTTCGAACTGAGCATGGTTGTATTTTATGGATAACATGGGTATTTGTTTATTTGAACTGTTTTTAATGGTCTTATTCTAGTTTTATAAGCTGTTGGGAATCTTTCTGAAGTAATCAATCAATCAATCAAAGTGTAGGTTTAAATATCAATGAAATTTAAGTTTAATTGTGAATGAAAGGGATAAAATGTATGCCAGAAGTATGATCCATTGGTTAGTAATAGTTACCAGTTGTGCTCAAGTGAATGGTAAAACTGAACATGAGAGAAAAAAGCATATAAGACGATGATTGCCACAGAGAAGGATGGAAGATACTATCGTAAGAAATGAAAATAGACATTTAAAAGCATATGTCCTATTAATTTTCCAATATTAAATAAGAGTTGTCAAGTCAAGAAAAAAATGATAGTAAGCTGAATGTAGTGAGAATAGTTTTATTTAACTAGTATAAGAGAAAAGGGAAAAGAACAGATAGAATCAAGTGAACCATGAATAGGTGCTAAATGAATGTGAACACAAAATAGGTGACCCATATGAATGAAAGTGTTAGTAGTGTTAGCCTGATCGCACAGAGAAAATGGTGATCAAATCACACAAAAAAGGTAATATGACGGGTGAGTAAATGTATTGAGAGAAAGAGGAAAATTAAGAAAAGTATATTTGGAAAGTGTTGATGAGAACCTTGAGAGAGAGAAAACAGAGGGAAATTATGGATATGTTCTCCAGGGGTTTGTAAAGACAGAAAGAAATGGAGAAGTATAATAAATGGGTTGATATAAAATACATTCAGCAGCATTCCCCCCTTCCCCCATTATTTATGACTTCAATTTCTTTGGCTCATCATTTATTTCTTTCTGCATTTTTCATAAATCGATTAGTCCCAAAAGGAATAGCGTGAAATGTGTATTTGGTACATGTAGGCATATATATTTTATAAACCTAAATGGGAGATTAACATGCTGTAAAATAAAGTACAGCCTAGTGTGTCTTACTCATTTCCTAATATGGTTCAGCATCTCATATAAACCCTTTACGGAACATTTCTTTCTTTGGAAGCCAGCCCATCTGCCCAGTAAAAAAATATAAGTTAATGTGGTAAGGAACAACTTCCCAATTTCTCCCAATGAAAATGGATATTTTGTTACTGGCCATGTTCAGTATGGCAGCCATTCACAAGGCTGTATCAACTGGCCCAAAAATATTAGAGATCTCTGCTTTATATGTTCTCACTGAACATGAACAAAGAGACATTTAAAATGAGTAAGAATAATTTTATGTCTTATATGGTAGGATAATGGTCATTTTCAAAGCCGAACCTTCTACATGTTTTGGATTACAACCTTCAGGTGTAACCCAAGACAGCTCAAGTAAAATTTTGTTACTATCTAGAATGATATATTTTAACATTAATGTGTGCTAAAGCAAAATATATACAGTATATATCACTTTCTTCTCCATTCTTTATCCAGAGTTTACATTACTTCACTTCATGATTCTTAGTGGATCTTCTCTGCTACCTCTAACCTGCCTTTTTTCCATTCTTCTTTTCTTCCCTACATTTTAGGATCGCAGAGCAAACATGAAATGCTTGTAACCTGCGAAGCACTACAGCAATCAAACCACTGCAGAAATCAGTTAGGGATTCAGTGTAATAAGGTTTTGCTATAAACTGGAATTAGTTAAATCACCCAGGATCCCATTAACAAGGAAATGAATGAATGAACCAATTAATCAATCAATTAAGAGGACACAGAATATGATCAGAAAATTTGCAACAGACCTAATCAGGTGCATTTCACCGGGGCCAGACATATTACTTTGCCCTAAACCAGTGTTCCTCAACCTTGGCAACTTGAAGATGTCTGGACTTCAACTCCCAGAATTCCCCAGCAAGCGAATGCTTCAAGTTGCCAAGGTTGAGAAACACTGCTCTAAACCAAGGAAATAGAAGTAAACTCATCACACAATCTTCTAATTATTCTCCAGAACTCAGAACATACCTTTATGTCAGAATCCATAAAAACAACACATTATCCACTGCCTTCCAATTAAACCTATACCTTCTCCAACCTGTTGATTCAGCCATTCACCATTCAGAGGAACTAATCTGCTTTAATTTTCAACAGTTGTTTTCAAATAAAATATTTGAGCTAAGCTGTCCCAAATGTGTTTTTTTTTCCCAAAAGACAACTGGACTTACCTAGCATCTCCTTTTGAGAGGTTAGTGTTCACAGGATGAAGAATAACTTTGTTTGTCTCCACATCTACCACACATTTTGTATGCAGATCTATTTCTATTATGAGAAAAAAAAGAGGATAAACATGTCAAATGCCATTTTTAGAACCATAGGGTTTTTTTTTAATATTACAACCGGTTCATTTCTATTTTGCTAACCAATTTGTCCCCTGATTATCTATAACTGCCTACCAGGATATTCAGCTTTATACTTTTCTAAAAAAAAAGAGTTACAGCAGCCTTCTCAAATCTGGCATCACCCACATCTCTTGGATTACAACTGTCGGCATTCCACTAGTATGTCTGGAGCTCCAATAGATGAAAACGATGGGAACTTTTATCTAACAGATGGAGAGAAGGGACCAATTTTGGGGAAACTACTGCAGACTTCTTTCTGTAGCTCCTCCCATCTCCAAAGAGCTGGTTGTACAGAATCTGCAGAGACATTTTGAAGGACTGGGAAGGAACTGTAAAGTTCAGAACTAGAGAGGAAGGAAGACAAAAGCTGTCACACAATTATTTAGATTAGGTAAGTGGGAGAAGAACATTTCCTCTCTAGTTTCAATATACATTTTGTCATTGTTACATCCAGAACAGAAAACTTCCTTAGTGTAAAGAACCAGTCTTACATGAAGATTTTATCAAACAATGTAGGAAAACACAGAGCAAATATCCTCATAGAACTACCACTAATAGTCAGACCAAAACAGATAAATCATACTGGATTAGACAGACCAATTGTGAAAAACTGGTACAAGTTTACCTAATAAAAATGGTGCCATGTTCTCTCTCCTATTCTGATTGGTCCAAATCCGGGTACAAGCTAGTGATAAAGAATCCAAAAAGGATTATATTTCTCTATCCCCATTTTCCATTTTTATTCATACAATCATACCATCTGCAGATTTGAAGAATGTTCTCCTCAAATTCTACTGAATGAGGATGATAGTCCCCTTCTTTGTTGCTCAACACTTCTCAAACTTTGTGTAAGCTGAGCCTCTATGCAGAAAGGCCACCGAAGGTGAGGACATTGTACACATCTACAGTATCCTATGTTGACTGCAGCTTTCAAATTTTCACATTTGCAGCTGAGGAACTCTTTGAATTGCTAGATATCAAGAAACATATAGCTTTGTTTCACTACAGACAAGTTGAGGACAAAGCAATGCTTCTTCCTGGAATCACAGGAAATTATCAATAATATTGAATCTATATTGCAGGTTCAAGTGTGTATCATTTACATTGCTACAACTCGAAGTTGTAAGCCCAGTTAATTGAAAATTCACCTTTTAAAACATCCTTCCACAAACTAGTTTTATTGGCAAAAAGAAAGACAAGAAATTTTCTTTTGCCATTTAACATGTTAAATGGCATTTAACATGTTAAATGGCATTTAACATGTTTATCTCCTTTTTTCTCATAATAGTTTTCTAGAAAAATGAAGTATAGCCAGGTATTTGAATCACTGAAACCTTATTTTACATTTGGGCAGCAGATAAATAAGCATTCCAAATTAATAGTACCTGAACGTTTTACTTACACTAAAGAAATATATTATAATATTTTCTTACTGAACATAAGATGGAAGGAGGAGAAGGTAACTTAAGGCAGCTTGCTAATTCTTTTCAATAAACATAAAATAGGGCATGTGGGAAGCACTTCAGAAATAAAAATAGCTTTTCAAAATATCCACAATGGAAAATTGTGGGCAGATTTCTTATAATTTTAGGTTCCCTGAACTAAACAGGATGACCACAATTATATCTTTTATGCAGATATGTATTAATATTAAAACATAATTATGAAGATACAAGCAACTTCAAATCATAGACATGATGCAAAATGATTTACAATCTATCCAAGGCCTGAGGGTCAAACTTTAAAAAGGACTCCATCAAACTGGCAAGGATAAAAAAAAATAACAAGAAGATCAGAAGATTGGCAATTGGAATCCATGAGAATGAGACTTGACTATGATGGTAAGTCATAATATAGAGGTGAAATGCAAAAAATTAGAATATCGTGCAAAAGTTCATTTATTTCAGTAATGCAACTTAAAAGGTGAAACTAATATATGAGATAGACTCATTTCATGCAAAGCAAGATAGTTCAAGCCATGATTTGTCATAATTGATGATTATGGTTAGAGCTCATGAAAACCCCAAATCCACAATCTCAGAAAATTAGAATATTACATGCAATCAATAAAACAAGGATTGTACATAGAACAATATCGGACCTCTGAAAAGTATAAGCATGCATATGTACTCAGTACTTGGTTTGGGCCCCTTTTGCAGCAATTACTGCCTCAATGCGGCATGGCATGGAAGCTATCAGCCAGCCTGCTGAGATGTTATGGAAGACCAGGATGCTTCAATAGCGGCCTTCAGCTCTTCTGCAATGTTCGGTCTCATGTCTCTCATCTTTCTCTTGGCAATACTCCATAGATTCTCTATGGGGTTCAGGTCAGGCAAGTTTGCTGGCCAATCAAGCACAGTAATCCCACGGTCATTGAACCAGGTTTTGGTGCTTTCGGAAGTGTGGGCAGGGGGCAAGTCCTGCTGGAAAATGAAGTCAGCATCCCCATGCAGCTCATCTGCGGAAGGAAGCATGAAGTGCTCCAAAATCTCCTGGTAGATGGCTGTGTTGACTCTGGATTTAATGAAGCACAGTGGAGCAACACCAGCAGATGACATGGCTCCCCAAATCAACACAGACTGTGGAAACTTCAAACTGGATTTCAAGCATCTTGTAGTGTGTGCCTCTCCATTCTTCCTCCATACTCTGGGTCCTTGGTTTTCAAATGAGATGCAAAAGTTGCTCTCATCAGAAGAGGACTTTGGACCACTGAGCAACAGACCAGGTCTGTTTTTCTTTAGCCCAGGTAAGATGCTTCTGACGTTCTTTGTTGTTCAGGAGCAGCTTGACAAGAGGAATACGACATTTGAAGCCCATGTCCAGGATCCGTCTCTGTGTCGTGGCTCTTGATGCACTGACTCCAGCCTCAGTCCACTCCTTGTGAAAGTCCCCAACACTTTTGAATGGCCTTTTCCTGACAATCCTTTCCAGGCTGCGGTCATCCCTGCTGCTTGTGCACCTTTTTCTTCCACACTTTCCCCTTCCACATAACTTTCTATTAATGTGCTTTGATACAGAACTTTGGGAACATCCAACTTCTTTTGCAATTACCTTTTGAGGCTTTCCCTCCTTATGGAGGGTGTCAATGTTGGTTTCCTGCACAACTGTCAGGTCAGCAGTCTTTCCCAAGATTGTGATTCCTACTGAAGCAGACTGAGAAACCATTTAAAGGCTCAGGAACCCTCTGCAGTTGTTATGGCTTAATTAGCTGATTAGAGTGGGACACTTTGAGCCTAGAATATTGCACCTTTTCACAATATTCTAATTTTCTGAGATTGTGAATTTGGGGTTTTCATGAGCTGTAAGCCATAATCATCACAATTATGACAAATCACGGCTTGAACTATCTTGCTTTGCATGTAATGAGACTATCTCATATATTAGTTTCACCTTTTAAGTTGCATTACTGAAATAAATGAACTTTTGCACATATTCTAATTTTTCGAGTTTCACCTGTACTTTAATTCCATACAAGTATCTGAAAGAAGGTCAGATTTTAAAAAGTACACACTAATCGGTGTCAACCAGGAATGTAGAATGTGATGGTTTTAAATTATAGGAATGAAGATTCCTCTGAGTTTTAGCAAAATGCTTTAGCAATAACAGCAATTTAACAGAGGAATCAGTTATCCGATGAAGTACTGGCTCTACATTGATTTTCTGGGGAATTCTGGGAATTGAAGTCACACATTCTCAAACTGCCAAAGTTGAGAAACACCGAATTAGAGGCTAGAATGATTATCATCTGTCAAGGTCAAGTGTGTTTTGATTTAAGCACCTGCACTGACAAGAACTGGACTTGATGATCCAAATATCCCCTTGCAATGGATTCACAGTTTGTTCTAAGCCAGTTTGCTTAATTATGCTTTACATAACAAGCAACAGTTGAATTGATACCACTAAGCCATAAAGTATGGTTTATAAACCACATATGCACTTGGCTAGAACCTTAGGAAATTGTGAGTTTTAGTCCCACCTTAGGCATGAAAACCAGCTGGGTGACTTTGGACTAGTCACTGTCTCTCAGTCCAATTCAACTCACAGGATAGTTGTGGGGAAAATAGAAGGAAAGAGTATTATATATGTCCACTGCCTTGTGTTAGTTATAAAAATAATAAAAGTAGGACAAACAAATCTAAATCTATATACTAAGTCCAACTAGACACATCATATTAGTGCTCATATATATTTAAGGAACTGAGCATGAAGAAGAATGATGTTTCCAAAGGTAATTCTAGTAATAGGGGTTGTTTTCATTACAAAAACAAGGACACATTGTGTAATTGGAGTGGTTGGTTTTAAACTTTCTAATATTATGGAACTTTTACACTGAACCACTTGTTGAAGACTGCATAAAATTACAAAGCTCATGCTTGTTATAGAACATACCGGGATCCGTTATCAGGTGAATATAATTACCACTAGTTAAGCTTAACTGCAGTCCCAAATGTAAGAGATATATACACGAAACACTCTTCTGCAGCTGTCAATTACAGCAAAGTTAACAGTAAATGTCCCAGGATTATCAATCTTCTCACAAATGAGATCTCATACTCTTTTTAATCACATTCCAAAGAACTTCAAAATCCTTATAATAGAATGTTCCAGTGATTCTGGAAATGAATCCTACAGGTTCAATAGATACCAGTTGGCATTCCAAAAGGGAAAAAAATAAGGGAGATCTAAGTAACATTACCGGTTAGAGAAACAAGGTATGAAGGATAACCATATATCTACTCAATTTCCTCGGTGACCCCATGCTATTCTTGACACCATCACCAGAAAAGTAAAGTTTGCAATACTCAACAGCAATTAGAAAGAAATTCAGAGAAACCACAGTTTTATGAAATATGTTGCCAAGAATGCTAGCTAAAGGCATTATTCTTCTGCAGATGAGGAAGGAAGGAAGGAAGGAAGGAA